CGCATTCTCCGGCGGCGAGGATGCCTCCGAGGGCGGCGCGGAGGATGGGACCTCGGGCATGGGGGGCAGCGCGGGCGGCGGGGAAGGCCCGGTCATTACCGCGCTGACGCCCATGATGATCCCGGACGTGTTCCCGCACCTGCCACTCATCGCCGTTACACGCAACCCAGTGTTCCCGCGCTTTATCAAGATTGTCGAGGTAATGAGAGCCCCTGCCTTGGCCTTCGTTTCCCCACGCCTGCAAGTAGCGGGCTGGACTGAGGGATCGCTTAGCACTCTTGCCTCACAGCTTTTTCCAGGCACGAAGCTTCTCAAAGGCTGGAGTTCTAGTCCTAGTCTTCTCACCATTAGTTTGGTCAGGAGACTCAGGAGGAAGGTAGCAGAAGGATGTTCTCAGGGGTTATTCATTCAGCAGAGTGTTCTGAACTTGCTCCCATGTAGCAGGCTGAGGATTCATCAGGGAACAAGACAGACACAGGCCCTCTGTCTAAGGAATTTATGTTCTGGTGGAAGAGACTGAACGGGATCTTTTCAGACTGAGCCACAGGATGGGAGGAGGGCGGGGTGAATAGACCAGGGTGATGAAATAAAGTGAAAGCAGCAGGAGTGCTAGGAACTTGAGTTTTTAGAGTAAGAAGAGCCCAAATTCCTGGCTGCCTTCCCCACCCTGTCTTTGTCTCTCTTTCTTAACGATGTGGAAACTAGTTCATGGAGGAGAGCAGTTATCTGTTAACTGTCTGAGCAAGGTCATACAATGAGTCAGCCTTGGCATTCACCCTCCAGCCTCCCCCCTTACATGCCAGCCTCTGCTGAATAAATCTCAGGGATCCCTTGGAAAGGGAAAGGACAGTGCAGAGGGACAACGTTCAGCCAGTGAGGAGACAGAAGGAGGCCACTCCAGTTCCCCTCTTGTGCTGCTAATTGTGCCTGTATTGGCTGCCCTTCCAAGGTCTTTCCCTGATACTAAGTGGAGGTTACTTGTAGGCCCCAGGGCCACACCCTGTGGGTTCATATTCCTGGCTCTTCCACCCCTAGCCATAGAACCTTGAGCAGGCTGTTCTGGGCCTCCATTGTTTCATCTGTGAAATGGACATAATCATAGTCCCTCGTTGAAACTGTTATAGGTGGTAAATGAGGTCATGTGTAAAGGACTTAGAACTGCCTGGTGCTTAACATACTTTCACGGTACGCTGCTGCTGTTTGCTACGTGGTGTGCTTTTGACACTTCAGAAATGTGCCCTTGGAGGTCTTTTCTCCATCCTTGACCCCCATCTCCAGCAGTCCTCTCTGCCCTCCCAGGCCTTGGGCCAGGACTGTTCACCAGGTATGGCTCCCTCAGCCCTGCAACATGCAGATGCCCCTGGTCCCCAGGGCTCTAGCAGAGATGGGAGTCTTCCGGGGGATTCTGTCCGCCCACCCGGAGGTAGCCAGGAGGGTTCCGTGAGCTGCTGCGGGCAGTATGAGACTGGCAGGCGGTATTCCTCGCTGTTACCTGGTGAATAAGGGAAAGGGCGCCTGCCAAAGGGAGCAGACAGGCGCTGAGACGCAGCGGCCAGCTGTTAGCAGAGGGGAAGCTGGGAACTTCCACGGGGCCCACTGAATGTTTCTGAAGCTGTTAGCAAAGCTCCAATTTCTCTTGATTTTTTTGTGGACACGGTATCTGGCTAACTTGCCCTAAGCTTCTCTCCTTATTAGTGGTCTCTGAGTAAAGACCAGTGACTCTTAACATAGAGTGGGTCGTATACACTCTTGAAGGGTGTCACGGACCTTTATCCCGGAAAGAGTACATTTATAGTGTCAGGAGTTCCCATACCATATGGTAATGGAGTGAGTTAAAACACTACTTCTCAGAGCATGATCCATGGACCAGCAGCAGCAGCATGAGCAGCACCTGGGAGCTTGTTTGAAGTGCAGATTCTTAGGCCCACTCCAGCCTTCCTAAATAAGAAACTCCAGGGGTGGGGCCCAGCCATCAGTTTTAAGAAGTCCTCCAGGTAATTCAGAATCATGCCAAAGTCTGAGGGCCATTCAGTTTAGTTGGGGTCCGGCCTGGGCCTTAACACAGGCTTGAAGGAAATCATTTGAGCCCTAAGGACACCTGTGCTCCTCCCATCAGCTGTTTGCTGGGAAACATCATTAGCCCTCTGCCTGCCACTGACATGATAGGAGAATGTGCTGTGATCCTGGGGGCTTTGATGATCAACAAATAGGGTGTAGATGTGATTCGGGTATGCTTTCAGTGAAAACTGAAGGAGTTACCTGCCCGTGGGGTGTGTCACATTTGAATTATGCGTATTTACTGTTGTCCTCCTAACAATAGAAGCAGGTGGCTTGGACTTTCAAGTCACGGCATTTCACTGCAGAAACAGCTCTTGAAATTGATGTTAAGTCAATTTCTTGGTTCTGGCCGTTTGTCTACTTGGAGTTTTCTTTAGGAAGAAGGAAGAACTAAGGAATGCAGCTTGTAAACATTACCCCCACTCCATTCTCCACATACCAGTCTTTTTTCTTTTTTTGGTTCCGGGTTTTCTGGAGCATGTTGGTTAGTCCTGGATCAGATTAGCATATCTGCCTGAGAGTAACAGGGAAAACGCTAGAGCTGCTGTCAAAATGTCGCCTAGAAAACCTGCCCTGCATTTCACTTTGGGGTCATTGTCATGCTAGGTTAAAAATAAGAAGTTGGTTGAGCTGCTAAGAAGGAAAGTCCGTCTTGCCCAGCCGTATGCCGGCGTCTTTCTAAAGAAAGATGACAAGTAAGTGTAATTTTTCCTTCCCTCCTTCGTTGAAGGCGCCCTGCAGGGTGACTCACCGCCAGTGATGCTCTGTAGAGTAGCCTGGGCCTCTGACCCTTGACCCTTGAAAGAAACCCAGTAAAACCTCCAGGGGGCAAGGCCAAGAGCTGAGTATCCCTTTGTAGTCTGGGCTGAAGACTCAACTCAAAGCACTGGGCCCCGTGTATGGTCAGGATGGGGGGAGATTAGCCTCGAGGACCTCAGTGTTGGGCCAGGGTGGGGCTGCTTCATAGCAGAGCTAGGCGGGCAGATGTGGAGGTTTTGAGTACATCCACCTCCACCCCAGGTAGAAGTTAGTTCCACTTCTGAGTTTGAAGGTGCATCTTAGGCCCCGTCAGAGGAGGTATGGAAGGGAATCCAGATCCTACCTGGGCTCTGCCCTCGGGGCCAGCTTAACCCAGAGTGCCTTGCCCACCTATGTGGGGACCCCCTGGGCACCTCCGCTCCAGAGCACCTGTGGGAGTGAGTGAGCGCGGAGGTCAAGGCTGGGAGGGGTGTTTCTCTTCTCTCTCTCTTATTCCAAGAGAGTCGGCCCCATGCCCACTTCCTTTGTGTCCCCACCCTCAGCAACGAGTCCGACGTGGTCGAGAGCCTGGACGAGATCTACCACATGGGGACATTTGTCCAGATCCATGAGATGCAGGACCTTGGGGACAAGCTACGCATGATTGTCATGGGACACAGAAGGTGCGGGAGCCCGAGGGGGCGGGGCGGGGCAGGGCCAGGAGAGCAATGCCCCAGGTGCTACCAGCCGCCCTTTTCCTCAGTGCAGCAAGCAGGCCAGAGCTGGAGGCGGATCCCGCTTCTCAGAGCCCGTGTCAAAGTGGCAGTTGGGGGATCAATGAGGAGCCAATTCTGATGCTCCAAAAAGCACCATGAAACAAAACAGCAAGTTGCCTCATAGCCCATGTCTAGGTGTCAGGCAGGCCTTCCCCCAGGTGCCTGCATCTGTGTCTCCGTTCAGCCTAACAATTGGCGGTTTGTCGCTTAGCCAGACACATTTCCTCGCGGGTCGTGCTAGTTTCTGCCTCCGTTCTGCTGAAGGGCTACATACAACGTTTGTAAGCCTGGTCTAACCCCTGTACTGCTGCCATTCATTAAGAACAATATGACAACTGGGTTGAAGCTGGAAGAAATGAACCAGCTTTTCACGTGTGTTCCGAGGAACAGTGGCCTCCCAAGACACTTGTCAAAGTCGTCCTGTGATCACATACGTGTGGGAATCGTCACATTTCAGAGTCACAGGCCGTTAACGTAGTAAATATTCTGAGAAGCCTCTTGTAGAAGATGCTCGCTGGCGTTTGCTGATTCTAGAGCCCTCCATCCTTTTTTCTGACAGCTTTTTTCTGTGTCAGCTGGCAGCCCCGCCTCCTACTAGGACACCTAGGGTGAGGGTGGTCTATGAGGGCAGTGATTCTGTGGACCGTCCTGGTGGCGTCCCCACTGTGCTGAGACCCTGTGCCCATCCTCATCTGCTAGCATTAGGGTCTGTTTTAGAGAAGAGGCTGCTGCTTTGTCTCTTGGGAGGATTCATTGGTCAGAAGGAACAGAATAAGTTGCAACCAAAATTCATACAGTGGCGGCTACTCACTACTCTGCTATCCTGTGAGGTGCCTCAGAGTCCTGCTGACCCCTGAGGCCAGGTCACCCCAGTGCTTTACCGAGTCCCCGCTTCCTTTTCTCTATGCCTCTTGCCCCTGTCAGCCAAGCACTGAGCCCGGGTCCCAGTCGGTATCAGGCCTGCTCTCTAAGGACAGTACTGTTATTAGTTATCCCCGTGGGGCAGAAGGGAGCCCACCTGTCCCCAAACACCTGGGGCCTGGTATCTGCCAGGTGCTTGATTGTGATTGGAGGAGCAGGTGAGGGGCCCACCTTGGGGATCTGGCCCCCTGCATGGGGAGAACGTGAGCACGGAAATAGGTTACAGGCTGCATTCTGATGGTGGCAGGTGCTTTGGGGGGGAAATTGAAGATGGACAAGCTGGGGGCTGTGTGCACAGGCGGGGCTGGACTTCATTCACATGGGGTGGTCAGGGAAGGAGGTTCCCTTATTGTGAAGCTGAATGCCATAAGGGAGCTTGAGGCTGAGGGAGGGGCAGACAGGGTCCCAGAACTCTTGATGGGCCCAGAGTGGCTGCCACGGGCTTCTTGGTTTGTGGAGGACGATGGGCGTTGGTGTGGGAAGTGGAATGGATGTCCCCAGGGTAGGGGGGATGCTGGCCGTGGGTTCTGAGATGGCAGCTCCACTCCAGTCGGTGGCTGCAGGCGCCCTTTAGTCGGCAGCCCTGTGGAAGCCGCTGGCTGGACACCCCCAGCCTCGATGGCTTCACCCCTTCCTTGTGGCCTTCAGGGTTCACATCAGCCGCCAGCTGGAGGTGGAGCCAGAGGATCCTGAGGGTGAGAACAAGCAGAAGCCCCGCCGGAAGCCCAAGCGGAACAAGAAGGAGGCGGAGGAGGACGGGGGCGCCAGGCAGCAGGTGGAGGTGGCGGTGGAGCCCGGCCCTGCCAGCGAGGTGCTCATGGTGGAGGTGGAGAACGTCGTCCACGAGGACTTCCAGGTCACTGAGGAGGTGAAGGTGAGTCTGGGGGCCCGGCGAGCGCCTTCTTCCTCAGAAGTCCAGGCGGAGCTGGCGTCAGGGAGGTAAAGGGGCTGCGCTGGGGCCCCAGCTGCCGGGAGGGGGTCAGGGTTTGATGCCCGCGCCCCCTTCCTCTGGCCTGGCCCCTCCTCCCAGGCCCAGGGCTGGGGGTGGGCAGGGCACATTTACTGTGACTCGGGGCTTCAAGACAGGAAGGAAACAGCCTTCTGGCCACCTGGGTCCCAAGCCTAGGCTGGCCTGCCTTTATAGCACAGCGAGCTCGCTGTCGAGGGGGCATCTGAGGAAAGGCAGAGCCATTGGAAGGTTCCTTGCATGAGCATGCCCTTGGTGCCCTGCTCTCCCCATGGGGAACACCCCCCAGACGTGACTGGCAGCTTTTGTCTGAGCCTGCAGTGCTGTGCTGAGGACTCTGGGGCAGGCTCTGAGCCTGGTGGGGAGGAGTGTGGCGATCCATTGGTGATGTCCGCTGCAGCCCAGGCAGGGGGCCTGGCCAGCAGTCACAACCACGGGCCCCCAGGGCAGTGCCATGCAGGAGAGCTCTGCACGGCTCTGGGTGTGCCCTGTGATTCTGCTCCCCTAGCCCCTGTGGCTGTTGAGCACTTGATGTACAGCTGACGCAGCTGAGGAGCACAACGCCTGGCTGTGTTTCATCTTAACTCACGGGAATGCGAGCAGTGCTGGTGGCTGCCGCCCGGGGCAGCACAGCTTTAGAGTCGCCCTTAAGGCTCTTGTTTGGGGGGATACATGTGGCAGAACACACAGATGCTGTGGTGGCGGGGAGCCGGGCCGCTCGCAGTGTGCCTGTCCGTGTCCCTGCTCCTACTACAAAGGTCGTCCCAGGCAGTTCAGGGATGAACCCGGGAACCAGGTGATCACACTGAAGACCCCAGCAGTGGCGGCCACGTGCTTCCTGCCCACTGCTGCCCCGAGTGGAGCACGATGTGCTGGGAGCCGTGGCCTCTGGAAACCATGAGGTGTGGGATTTATGCCGCAGACTGCGCCCAATAATCCTGCCAGGAGTGTCGCCAGCCACACTGTGGTGGCAGTGAAGGCAGGAAGGGCAGCAGTCCCCATGGCATCCACACCGGCGTGGGGACTGCCTCGGAAGGGGGACTGGGGCGAGGTTCAGGGGGTGCAGGCCAAGAGCCCTGGTGACCCACAGCTGAGGTGGGGAGGGGGGTGCCACTTGTGAGGACAGTGCTTAAAAGAAAGGAACAAAGCACCCCTTCCCCCACCCCCTACATGGCTGTTCTGGGACGGGAGGTTCAGAGTGGTCTGCCAAGACAGGGATGGTTTAGTTTTTGCTCTCGGGTCCCAAGTCCCAGCCTGGTGAATTTGGGCTCCGCTCCTGGGCCTCTGAGGGCGTCCTTAGCCAGGCCGGGTGGGAGGGGCTCCCTGTGACCATTGCGACCTCCCTGCTTGCCAGGCCCTGACTGCAGAGATTGTGAAGACCATCCGGGACATCATCGCCTTGAACCCGCTCTACAGGTGGGTCTGGGGCCCTCTGGCTCTTTCGCCGCTGGTTGTGTTGTCCTCATGGGAAACCTGGTGGGGCTGCGGGACTCCTGGCCCAGGACTGTGTATGTGGGGCTTGCTTCCTCCTAGCAGGGAGGCCCTGGGCCAGGAGGTTGGAGGAGACCGCTTGCTGGCCTCAGCTCTTGGTCTTCTCCCTGCTAACAGGGACCTGGATTTGGCCAGAGCCTCTGTGGTCCTCAGCTGGGGTTGAGGGAGGGGATCTCCAGAGGGGTCGCAGTGCAGCGGCTTGTGTCTGGCATGGCAGCATCTCCATCCCTTGCAGAGAGTCTGTGCTGCAGATGATGCAGGCAGGCCACAGGGTGGTGGACAACCCCATCTACCTGAGCGACATGGGCGCTGCGCTGACCGGAGCCGAGTCCCACGAGCTGCAAGATGTCCTGGAGGAGACCAACGTGAGTGAGACTCGTGGGGTGTGGCTGTAGCAGCCATGTCCAGAAGCAGGCTGGGTCAGAGCCGGCCCCAGGCCCTGCTTCCTCCATTGCTCCCCACACCCTCGCCCCTCTGAACATCCTCTCGCGTCTTCCTTTCTCGGCAGATTCCCAAGCGGCTGTATAAAGCCTTGTCCCTCCTCAAGAAGGAGTTTGAGCTGAGCAAGCTGCAGCAGCGCCTGGGCCGGGAGGTGAGCCGGCCGGGGTTGGGCGGGGCCTCTTCCCTGAGGCTGCGCGCTCCTTGGGGCCTGGGAACCTCGGGTGAGACTTCAGACTGTGGCCCAAGGCCGAGCACAGGGTGAGAGGGCCCTGGACTGTCCTCTATGAGGGAGCCCCGGGGAGATAGATGCTGGAAATAGGGGAGCCGGCCCTGGAAAGGTTGGAAGCTGTTTCCCAAGACTCAGCTGTGAGAGGACTGTCTTCCCATCTTTGGGCAAACCGTGGTCCGCCCAGATAGTCAGTTACTACGTTTTCCGGATTTAACTCACTTGTCTCACTTAGTTCTTACGTAAGGGGAAAAATTTGTATCATATCTTTCATTGGAAAACGTACACCTCGACTCTCGCACACGAGGACAGGGGTCAGCAGGACCCTGGGGGCGGGTGCTGGGGCTAACCCAGGGCCCTCGGCCTGTCCGTTAGAAGGAGGCTCGGCACCCCCAGACCGGCGTGGGAGGCGGGCCGGCGCCAGGCTGCGCTTCCCCTCCCCCTTGTCGGAACCAGGGCTGAGGGGCAAGTGCTTCCCTGGCCCTGGGATGTGGTGTGGCTGTGAGGCCCGTGCCTGGGAGGACTCGGGTTGGAGGTGGGGGAATTGGAGGCCACGTGCCCTGGGTTTCTGTCTCCGCGTCCTGAAGCGGTAGCGTCCCCAGCTCCGCATTGTTGCGTGTCCCCGCTGGTCTGACCACAGCCTCGTGGCCCCGCAGGTGGAGGAGAAGATCAAGCAGACGCACCGCAAGTACCTCCTGCAGGAGCAGCTGAAGATCATCAAGAAGGAGCTGGGCCTGGAGAAGGACGACAAGGACGCCATCGAGGAGAAGTTCCGCGAGCGGCTGAAGGAGCTGGTGGTGCCCAAGCACGTCATGGACGTGGTGGACGAGGAGCTGAGCAAGCTGGGCCTGCTGGACAACCACTCCTCCGAGTTCAAGTGAGTGTGGCCCCGGGGTGAGGGGGTCCTCTCCCATCACCCCCATTTCACAGCTGAGCAAGTCGAGGCTTGGAGATGGTAAGTCTGTGACTAGGATCCCTGGACCAGTAGATGGGGACAGGGATATGGACTCAGGGACGTCTGGCTCCAAGCCAGTGCCACTGGTCAGAACTGGGAGTCCCTGGAACTGCTGCCCCAAGGCCAGCCCCTCCTTCAGCTTCTGTACCCTGGTATCCCTCTGGCAGCTTTGAGAGTCAGCCAGCTATTGTCCTTCTTCCTGATGGCCTGGCCTTGCCAGCTGCTCATGGCCTTCTGCACACTGGTTGGAAGTTGGTGGTGGCCCCGGGGTCAGGGCCCTGGGGGATGTTTTTGGCTCTGGGACCAGGTGCTGCTCTCGGCAGCTCATGGGCTGGCCAGGGCTTGGGACGGCTCCTCAGGGGAGGACTTGAGCGGGCCTGCAGCCCCAGACCGTGAGTTCCCCCTGGGCTGCTGGACCAGGCCCCTCTCGGGCTCAGGACGTCTGGGGAGGGCTGTCTCTTTCTGCATGGACCCTGGAGAGGCTGGCTCCTCCAGGCAGTGTGGGCCCCCCTTCCAGAGACGCCCCAGCTTCTCTTTGTTGCTCAGTGAGTGAGCTTCCCAGGCTGGTGTCACAGGTGACCACAGACTTAGCGCCTTAAAACAACGACCTGCCTTCCAGTCCGGAGGCCAAAGCCCTAACGTCCAGGTGTCGTGGGCAGGACTGGCTCCTCCTAGAGGCGCTGGAGGTTTCCTCCCTCTTCCAACTCCCAGGAAACATTCCTCGGCTCATGGCCCTTCCTCCACTTCAGGGTGCTTCACTCCAGCCTCGGCCTCTGTCAGTTGTCTCCTCCTCTGACCCTGACCTCCTTAGGGGGATCCGCTTCTGTCCCTGGGTGCTCGGTGCCTAGTCTGGGGGTCACGCTCCTGGTCTCCGTTTGCCCACTTGTCCCGATCAGGTGGTCTCCCCGTCCCTACCCCTGGCCCCCCCAGTGCTGTCGGACCCTGAGTAGTCCCCACGGGCGCTGAGTCTCTGGGAAGCAGGTCTAGCACTGGTGCCAGGGCGCAGGGACACTGCAGGGTTGGTTCACAGCAATAAATCGAGCCACGTGAGTTTTTGTTAGTTTTGCAGTGTGTATAAAAGTTATGTTCATACTGTATTGTAGTCTGTCAAGTAGTCTATTAAGCATTATGTCAAAAAAGAGCAAAATACATGGTCTAATTAAAAAGTGCTTTATTGCTGGGGGGAGGGTATAGCTCAAGTGGTAGAGCGTGTGCTTAGCATGCCTGAGGTCCTGGGTTCAATCCCCAGTACCTTCAATAAAAATAAATAAACCTAATTACCTGCCCCTTCCCCCGCCCCCCCCCCGAAAAGTACTTTATTGCTAAAAAGTGACTGGACAACACAGGGTTACCGAAACCTTCAATGTGTGAAAAACACAGTGTTTCCTGAGAACAGTAGCACGGGGTGCACCTGGACTGCAGGGGGCCCGGGCCGGGTTGGCTCCTCAAAGCGGTGACGCCCGGCTGTTCACTGGCTCTTGCCTGTCCCGTGGCAGTGTTACCCGCAACTACCTGGACTGGCTGACGTCCATCCCGTGGGGCAAGTGCAGCGATGAGAACCTGGACCTGGCCCGGGCGCAGGCGGTGCTGGAGGAGGACCACTACGGGATGGAGGATGTGAAGAAGCGCATCCTGGTGGGTGAGGCGCCACCGGCCGTCCCCTACCTGGGCCCTGGGCCCTGGGCCCTGGGCCCTGGCCCACCTGCTGCGCTGGCTCAGTGCCCCCAGGGCAGGGGCCGGGAGGCCGAGGCTGCCTTGTCTGGATCTGTGTGTGGTGAGGGGGTGCCTCAGGGGACCCAGGATTGCCCCATGTTTGTGGGAGACCCAGAGAAGCCCCCTGGTGAATCTGCGGGCAAGGGAGGGGCTTGGCCAAGGCAGGGTTGGTGTGGGGGTCAGCAGGGGCTGAGGAGGGGGATGGGTGGAGGGACCAGTGTTAGAGTGGCTCAGATGTCAGGGCTTCCCATGTGAGGGGGATAAAAATTATGCTTATGATAGGAGGAAACGAGGGCCGGGCGTCTGGCTGAGGGCAGGTGTGGGGGCAGGCTTTTGGAGAGAGAGGATGCTGTTGTCCAGGTGTAGGGAGTTACTGGATGAGCCTGGTGTTGGAGTCACAGTCAGTTGCCCACATCCTCCTGGCACCTGCTTGTCCTGTTGGTGCCACAGCTGTCCCTCTCTGTGGCAAGTGACATCCAGTCAGCTCAGCCCCTCTGGGACAGGTCTCATCCCTTCTCACAGCCCCCAATGCCTACGGGAAGGGGCCACTCCAGGCGGAGCCCCTTGCTTTGCAGAGAGGGCGGCGAGTGTCTCACGGGAGCCCGCCTCTGCCCACAGGAGTTCATCGCTGTCAGCCAGCTCCGGGGCTCCACCCAGGGCAAGATCCTCTGCTTCTACGGCCCCCCGGGCGTGGGCAAGACCAGCATCGCCCGCTCCATCGCCCGCGCCCTGAACCGCGAGTACTTCCGCTTCAGTGTCGGGGGCATGACGGACGTGGCTGAGATCAAGGGGCACAGGTAGGCCTGGCCCCACTCCCTTCGTGGCTCATCCTGGTCAGGCTTCCTTCCTCCTGGGTCTGTTCCTGCCCTGGTAGAGTGAGCGAGCACCAGACCCCACTCAAGCTGGAGTAAATAATAGAAAAGTCCAGGTGTCTTGCTGACTTCAGGACTGGCTGAATCCAGGCGCTTAAACATTGGATCAAAATCTTGGCCTTTTGAGCACCAAGAGGACCTCTCAGCCGGGCTGTCAGCAGACGGCCCCATGGTTCCAGCTTATGTCCCACAGCTCAGCTCCCCCCAACCCTGGCTGGAGTTCCGGGGCTGTGTGCCAGCCTCAGGACAGGGGACTGTGGACTAGAGTGAGAGGTGGGATGGCCTGAGCGAGGTTCTTCCCTCCTCGTCAGGCCCAGAGCAGGGCCTGGCAACCCCCATGTCCAGGCTCTTAAAGCCATCTGGCCCGTGTGTGACGCCCTTCTGTGGGGCAGTCGGGGATGTTGTGTTCCGAGGCTTCCGCCACACTGGCCTCCGCAGAGGGTGGTTCTCTGAACAACCTCGGTGAGACACAAGTGTAACAGGTACATGGTGTCTGTTCCGAGTTTGCCATGTGTCTCCATCCTACCGTGGTCAAAGGTTTTAAACTGTGTGAAAGTTACTTTTCTGGCTTTTTAAAAACATTGATGGTTCTGGTTACCCGGGGCTCACGGGCCTTCCTGGGGGTCATTGTCTGGAGCCATCCCACCCTCCGGGCGGGGTGAAAACACTCCAGCCTGGTGCAGCCCTGCCACTCCTTGCTGTGCTGAGTCCCCAGGGACGTGGCCAGTCTTAACGACCCACCCCAGACCCACCCCGGTCCGGGGCCTGGAGAGGAGTTTGGAGAAGGGAGCTGGAGCATGGTGGGGCCGGGAGGTCAGGAGTGGAGGGTGAAGCTGACGTAGCCTTGGGTGCGGGGTCACTGGGAGGCCTACAGGCTGGAACGGTGTGGGTGTGCTGGGGAGTTGCGGGATTGGGGGCGGTGCAGGTTCTTGGCTCGGGCCGCAGTCTGAGCTGGGAGGGCCGGCTGGGTGGAGCTGGAGGGGATGCACAGAGGGAGGCAGGCAGGCCAGGTCCCCGGCCCCTGCTTCAGGGAATGCTCGGGATCCGCAAACCACTCACCAGGGTGAGAAGGGGCCTTGACTGTTTCTAAACAAGCATAGGAAGTCTGTGACGTCGGGGGTGGTGAGTCATCGGGGAAGGCAGGTGGGCATCTGTGTGAACGTTGGTCTAGGATCCCAAGACAAGGACTAGGACAGGGAACTGACTGCTGTGATGTCGGGGACAGCCAAGCCCACCTCTGCCCATAGCCCTCCAGGGCTCCCACCTCCCTCGGGGTAGAAGCCCACGTCCTCCCTGCAGTCCACAAGGCCCTGACCTCCAGCCTTGCGGGCCTCATCGCTGCTCCTGTGACACGCCAGGCCTGGCCCTGCCCCGGGGCTCCTGCGCGCTCTGCGCCCTCCCCCCGGAGCGCCCTCCCCCAGACCGCCACAGGGCTCCCTTTCACCTCCTTTGCTCAGAGCCTCCCGTTCAGCCACTGCCGCTCCCCCAAGCAAGGCGGCACTCCCCACCCCCTCTCCTGCTCTGCCTTGTGCCAAGTACGAAGTCATCCGTACCTCGTCATTTCCTCGCCTGCCTGGTTTGCGGTTGGGCTGCTCTGCTGGGCCTCAGCTCACGGTGCGGGACTCCTGTCTGGCTGGTTCCCTGCGACTGCCCGGCAGGCCCCTGCGGCCGAGCTGGGGCAGAGCAAATGGGCACTCGGGAAACGCTCCTGAAAGAGCTTGTCCGCTGAGGCGGGCCCTGGGCCCATGACCCTGAGCCTATGGGCTGAGGGTTTGGGGGTTTTCCTGCTGCTCCCAGCCCCTCTCCTCTTGGGTTGGGCAGTGTGGGCTGGGTTTCATGGTCTGGATAGGAGGTGCTGGCTAGGGGGATGGGTCCGAGAGAGAGTTGGCTGTGAGTCTGTCCCCTGTGCCCTGAATCAGCTGGGGAGGATATCGACACCCCCAGCCCTTGGGACCACAAAGCCATTGGGGTAACTGAGTGCTCTGCGCACCTGCACTGCTTGGAAGCGTTCATCCTCTGCTGGGGCCACGCCATGTGCATCTCCGTATCTCCTGTGGTGGCCGAGGAGGGCATGTGGCCGGTGAAGGTCCTGAGCTCCGGGTGAGCTGGGCCGCAGCAGCCCCAGGCGATGAGGCCCAAGCGCCCAGTCGTGCCCTCTCCCACAGGCGGACGTACGTGGGTGCTATGCCAGGGAAAGTCATCCAGTGCCTGAAGAAGACCAAGACCGAGAACCCCCTGGTGCTGATCGACGAGGTTCGTGGGGCGTGGAGATTGGGGTCCGAGGCCGGGCTTACGCCCTTCCCCCGGGTCGGATGTAGTCCTCTGGACCCTCTGAGCCCATGGCTCCAGGTGGCTCTGACCAGATGGAGTCTGTGTTCAAAGTGAAACCCAGGTCCCTGAGGTTTCGATGGTCCCTGAGCCATGTGGGTGGGGCTGCAGCTGAGCTGTCTCTGGACACTGGGCCCTCCTGTCCTGGAGGACCCGGTGTCTGCCCACAGCCACGCCGTCAGGCCAGGGCTCCCCTGCCCTGACCCCTATGCTGGTGGGGTCTGGGCCCAGCCAGTCTCCCGCTGGACTGCCTAGTGAGCCCACCTTCTGCGGCTCCTTCAGGTGGACAAGATTGGCCGGGGCTACCAGGGGGACCCCTCATCAGCGCTGCTCGAGCTGCTGGACCCCGAGCAGAACGCCAACTTCCTGGACCATTACCTGGATGTGCCCGTGGACTTGTCCAAGGTGTGTGTTGTGCCCAGGGGCTGGCCTGGCAGAGAGAGATGGGATGCCCCGTCCCCAGGAACCTCACTGTCGCCTCCCCCAGGTGCTGTTCATCTGCACTGCCAACATCACCGAGACCATCCCGGAGCCGCTGAGGGACCGGATGGAGATGATCAACGTGTCAGGCTACGTGGCCCAGGAGAAGCTCGCCATTGCGGAGGTGAGACAGCCCAGCCCTGGGGTGAGGGGTCACCCCACTACCACTTGGGTTTAAGAAAGATCTGAGTACCCTCCAGGTGCCAGGCAGTTAACCAGAGCTAGGGGACAACCCGCAGTGACCCTGCCCTGGGGCACCCGTGCCAGGAGGGGACAGATGGGGGGAGGTGGTGGTGGTACTAGGGGAACAGGCCTGTTGTGAACTGTGTAGGTCATACCTCTGACACCGGGTGGGGGTTCCCCACACCAGCCAGCTCTCAGGCCAGTGTCCTGTTACTCAGTTCAGTTCTGAACGCTGACTACCCGGAAACAGCATCAGACCCACAGGTTCGGGCTCAGGCCACAGGGCTGCCCCGCTTTACATGCCAGCAGCAAGTCCCCAGCTGCTCTTACTTTAGACCACCCAGAATCATGGGTTCTCAGAACCCCCTCCTCAGTTTGATAATTTGCCAGAATAGCCCACAGAACTCTGGGAGGCGGTTTACTTACTGTTACGTTTATTATAAAAGATACAACTCGAGAACAGCTGAAAAAGAGGTGCAGGAGGCAAGGTGTGGGGAGGCCCCGCTGCACGGGCCGATGGATGAAATCATCAATTGGTTATTGGTGGTGAGCCCAGTCTCCAGCCCCTCCCCCCCCGGGGGGTGAGGGCACAGCTGAAGGTTCCGGCCCTCCCGCCCCCTGGTCGGTTCCTTTGGCCACCAGGCCCCATCCAGCTGTGCTGAGGCGTCCCCTCGTTGTTCCTGAAATCCTTGGGTATTCCTGCAAGGGGCTTGTGAATAAGAAAGGATGCTCTCCTCGCCCCATTGCTTAGGAAATCCCAGGGGTCTTAGGGGCCGGAGACCCAGTTCCTGTCTCTCCTTACATCCCCACGTCAGGGGCCATAGCACAAAAGCAGGACAGCCCTCCGGTGAGCTCGGTGTTGAAGGTGGCAGCCCTGCCTTGGCTTTCAGGGCCCAGCACTCTCGGGATTGTGAGTTCACTTCCCACAGGAGAGTCCCCCTCAGTGCCCTGCTGCCTCGAGGTCGCACACCGCACCTGCCTCACACGTGGCATGCCGGGCCCTCCGTGGCACAAGGCCGGTGTCTCTGCTGGTTCACCTGGGGCTGTGGGTGCGGGAGTGAGGCCGCTGTCCGTTTCCACCAGCCGTGGTCCTGGGGGGTGCGACTGCCTAACTGGGCGTTCCTGCCCTGAGGCTCTTACTTGAAAGCAGGCATTTCTCTGGGAGACACCCAGGGAGGGTCCTTCCCCTGGTGCCCGGTGTGTGGTGCTCTACTAGCCTGGAATCACTCAGGGCACAGCCAGACTTCTTTCCTGAGGGCTTGTGTCCCTAGCACAGCATTTTCTTTCTGGAAAGGGCTTGGGAGCATCTCGTCCCCTGGAGCCCTTCACAGCCCTGTGACAGGCGCGGGCTCCCAGCCTGTGCATCCCGTTGGGGCAGGAGGTGAGGAAGAGGAGCTCTAGGCTGAGATGGTTGCAGGGGTGCTGGGGACTCCCCACCATATCCTCTGTCACCAGCCTGGACACTGAACCGGGTGGAGGAGGGGCAGGCTTGGGGGCCTGGGTGCAGGGCTTCCTCCAACTCCTGAAGGGACAACAAGAGGAACACGAGGATGGTGGGACACATCTGTCCCACAGTCAGTGCTCAGAACTCTGTTCAATGACTGTGGTGTGGCAGGAGTGGTGCTGGACTGTGAGTGACTTCGGAGCCTCTGACCTGCTCCTCATCCCTGTCTGCTCTTGGCAGCAGTCACATCGCCAGTCAGCTACCACACGGGCCCTCTGTCTGCATGAGATTGAGGCGGCCTTCCTGGAGGAAGAGGCATCTAAGGTGCCACCTGGAGGGAGGGCAGGAATCAGATCTGGGCAGAGGGTATAGCCAGCAGGAGCAGAGGCCTGGCGTCTCAGGAGCACATGGAGGCGACAGGCTGGGCATCTGCAGGTCCCAGGCCCTCCAAGGGCCTGGTACCCATAGGGCTCCTCCCTGGACTCACTGCCACCCTCCCTCATGGGCTCCTGGCTCCACACCGTTCAGGTCTTGACTTAGGTGTGGCCTCCTGGAGCAGGGGGCCCTCCCCTGACACCCCAGCTACACTGGACAACCCCAGGCTCCCCTGGGTACAGGGGCTCTGTGGGCCAGGCCTGGGGTCTACCTCGGTGATCTTGGGAAGGCTGGGCGGGGGCCACAGGAGAGGCACTGGTTCTTGACCAAGGCCCTGGGGTCCTGACGGTGGCCGCTCCTCCCCGCAGCGGTACCTGGTGCCTCAGGCCCGTGCCCAGTGTGGCCTGGACGAGAGCAAGGCCAAGCTGTCGTCGGACGTGCTGACCCTCCTGATCAAGCAGTACTGCCGGGAGAGCGGCGTCCGCAACCTGCAGAAGCAGGTGGAGAAGGTGAGCCAGCCGGGGGCCGGGGGAGGCGAGGAGTGAGTGTTAAATGGGGGCAGTTTCAGTTTGGGAAGATGAGGAAGTTCTGGCGGGGATGGTTGGACACCCAGCACGAATGCACTTACTGCCACTGCCATTGAGCTGTACACTTAAAAGACGGTTAAGGTGGGATTTACGTCGTGTATTTTACCACAACTGTAAAAAATTAAAAAGGAGATGGAGGTGAGCCCCCTCGCTGTCCCCCCAGGTGTTACGGAAGTCCGCCTACAAGATCGTCAGTGGCGAGGCCGAGTTCGTGGAGGTGACGCCCGAGAACCTACAGGACTTCGTGGGGAAGCCGGTGTTCACGGTGGAGCGCATGTACGACGTGACGCCGCCCGGCGTGGTCATGGGCCTGGCCTGGACCGCCATGGGTGAGTGGCCTGCATCGGGAGCAAACGTGGGGGTCCCCACACGGCCCTGTGCTTGCCTGTCCCTCTGGGAGAGATGGGCGGACCGGAGCCTTAGCTGTGGGCTCCTTGCCGATGGGCAGTGTGCGTGATGATTGAGGGCAGGTGGGGCCACGAGGAGGCGGCAGTAGCTCCTCTTGAGCTTTGGGCAACACTGACAGATGTGCCTGAAGGGGAGTCCTTACAGCATGGGAACTTGTCGCCTGAGGGGCTACCACCCAGCATAGGAGGACAGCCAGGGAGCTGCCAGGGCGGGGGATCAGAGAGGCGCTTCCTGCCCAGGTGACGTGACTCAGCCCACCTCCACCAGGAGGCTGGGTCAGGGGGCTCCGGAGGGCCAGGGGTCTTTGGTAGCCAGGGACTCTCTTGGCTGGCAGGCGGGGCTCTGGGTGCGCACAGGGCCCGGCTAAGTGGCACACCGGCTGCCTGGTCGGGCTGTACTGAAACTGCGCGCGGGGGAATGAGTTTGGTGCTGGCAGGCTCTGCGCTGGCAGGTACACAGGGAAGGCCAGCCCACTGAGGTCCTTTTCATGTGACCCAGTCCCTGCAGCTGGAACCTCTGAAGGGGCTGTGTGGGCTGGGAGCTATGAGGGCTGAGGAGGCGTGAGGCTGGACCAGCTGGGGAAGGAACGGTGATGAGTGTCCCCAAGGGCTGCCCAGCCATGAGGAGGGTGGCGGGAGCAGCTGTCCCGGAGTCAGGGGCACCCCAGGGCTCAGTGGCACTGCCCTTGCTTCCCTAGGCGGCTCCACACTGTTTGTTGAGACGTCCCTGAGGCGGCCTTGGGACAGAGGCAGCCACAGCAAGGAGGACAAGGATGGGAGCCTGGAGGTGACAGGCCAGCTGGGGGAGGTGATGAAGGAGAGCGCCCGCATCGCCTACACCTTTGCCAGGGCCTTCCTGATGCAGCGCGACCCCACCAATGAATTCCTGGTGACGTCACACATCCACCTGCACGTGCCTGAGGTGAGGCCGGCCCCACGCTCCCACTGGAGTCCCCAGTTCGGGGCAGTCTGCCCACCAGCCCCCATCTCCCCCCCAGGGGCGCCACCCCCAAGGATGGCCCGAGCGCCGGCTGCACCATCATCACGGCCCTGCTCTCCCTGGCAATGAACCAGTCGGTGCGGCAGAACCTGGCCATGACAGGCGAGGTCTCCCTCACGGGCAAGATCCTGCCGGTGGGCGGCATCAAGGAGAAGACCATTGCGGTGAGCACCCGCCCAGCTTCCCAGCTCACAGGCAGGACGGGGACAGGGCCATCTGAGAGACGGGAAGTGAGGCATGGGGTCTGGACCCAGGCTGCCTGGCCAGGGGCAGGTTCAGCTGACTGCCAAGCTGCCTCTCCACTGTGGTTCTCAGCCTTTTTACGGCTTTGGAGAATCTCCACAGACAAGAGGCCCCACTCGGGCTTCTCACCTGACCAGCAGTGAGAACTGTGGCTGCAGGAAGGGCTGTGGGGGAGGGCCCAAAGTCTCACTGTGCACTTAACGAGGTTGGACTGTGGGGGATGTGGGAGGCAGGTCTGCCCTGGGGTCCCCCACTCCTCATGGTGACCCCCCCCCAGGTTCTGTCCCTTACACACACCTCCTGCCTGCTGACCTCAAGTGCCTGCAGGGGCTCAGCTTGGGGGGAACCTATGACTGGGACAACCTTAGGCCCTCTGGGCCTCCGTGCTTGCAAAGTTGAGAGCTTCAGGGAGTCACTGTGTGCTGTGTCCCTAGAGCAGTGACACACAGGAACCCCTGTCCAAGTGACAGGCTGAGGGGACTGCTGCAGAGGCCCCCCGGGTAGGACGGGGGTGTGGCCAACCTCAGGTGCCAGACCGCTAAATGCAGTGCAGGGGATACTGCAATCAATCCAGGAAGCTACAGGTCTCTTTCTGTAACTTTCCACAAGAGGCCAGGTTCCTGCTCCCAGGTCCCAATCATCTGTTCCCAGCCCAGCCCTCTCCTTTCCTTCCACACTGAACTGTGGTCCCCTCCCTCCCAGGCCAAGCGTGCGGGAGTGACATGCATCGTCCTGCCCGCCGAGAACAAGAAGGATTTCTATGACCTGGCCCCCTTCATCACTGAGGGCCTGGAGGTGCACTTCGTGGAGCACTACCGCGAGATCTTCGACATAGCCTTCCCCGAGGAGGCTGAGGCCCTGGCCGTGGAGCGGTGATGGCGGCCCTGGACACTGCTGGCACCGCTGGACCCAGCCTGGGCTGAATCTGTACTGGGGGGCCGAGGCTCCAGGCAGCTGAGCCACAGGAAACTCAGGAGAAGCCTGGAGTCCAAGACCTCAGTTATGGCTTAATCATCCACTATTTAATTATGATTAAAAACCATTTCCAGTACTGCAGACTGGCTTCCTTCTATGCCCACCACCATGCCCCTCAAGTTTCAAAGGACCCCCCTCTTCACCATACCAGCACGTTTCAGAAAAGGTTTTATTACACACAGACGCGAGGGAGGGGCTCAGTCCTTCTTAGCGGCCGCTTTCCTCATGGCGGCCAGGACGTTGCTCAGCTCCTCTCTCTTCCTCTTGGCGCGGATGTGTGTCCCCACCTGCCGGCAAGGAGGGCCGTGAGCCTGAGCCCCAAGTCCTGCCCCTGCCCCTGCCCCAGGGCTTCCACCTACCCGTTTCTTGATGAATTTGAGGGCCCGCTTGTCCTTGGAGACCTTGAGCAGCTCCATGGCCCGCCGCTCATAAGGCGCGAAGCCACACACCTCCCGGATCATGTCCCTCACGAACTTTGTGTGCTTGGTGAGGCGCTGTGGGGACGGGGGGGGCGGCGTCAGGGCAATGGCTCCGCGAGGGGGACGCCAGCCCACTCTGGGTCTCCGGAGTAACAGTGCAAACCCAAATCCTCCTCGGTCCCCAATCTTAGCCCGGCCTCCCTGGCCCCAGAACTTTCTCCTACTGGACACAGGCTAGGTGGGCACCATGCAGTCAGGGCCGCCTAATGGAGCCTATAAACCTCGACAAGCCCGAGATTCCTCAACCTGGCAGTCCAGCAGTCCGCTTTTCCTCCACATTCCAGCCTAGATCCAGGCACCTTTATACTCGGCAACATCCTGCTCAAGCATCAAAACCCGCTCCCAATTCGCTCCTGCCCCTGCTTCCGAATCCACGGCGGGGGAGGGTCTCGGTGCGTGGCCCGGGTGGGCGGTCGCCCACAAGCGGGAAACCACATCTGCATTCTCTGCTCTAGCAGGCCCGACACCCTCTTCCTTCCGCTCGGGCCACCCAGGGCTGCCCAGTGCGCTCCCGGAGTCTCTGCCAGGCCCTGCCCGTCGCCCGGAAGGTTCTTCCCACCTCCCTCCGCGAGGCCCCCGCTGCCCGCGCGCCCCGAACTCACCCCGCGGCGGCGGCTGTGTCTCGGCTTGCTCACGTTCTTGGTCACCTTGTGGCCTTTGTTGAGGCCCACGGCCATGGGATAGCGCAGAGCCATGGCTGCAGACGAGGGTGGGGAGAAGGGGTGGAGGTGAGTCTCGGCTCCGTCCCCGCCGCTCGGAACCCCGCGCTTCGGCCACCCCAGGCTCGCTTGCTGCGCCCAGCCATACCCACAAGCTGCACTGGGGCCCCAAGCGTCCAGATGGCAACAGATCTCACGCGGAGCTTCACTAACCTGCTTCTCTCCAATGGCTGCCGCGGCGGAAGGGCCTACAGCGCAAGGAACTCTGGGATACCTACCCATCCATGGGAGGCGCGGGCTAGAAAGGCAGGAACGGCGCGCGCTCCGCCTGGCGGCTGGAGGCGTCCCTGCGGGCTCCCCGAGCATGCGCGCTTACCTCAGCGGGCTCAGGAGTCGGACTGGGTAGGCGTGGCTGTGGCTGCGGTACCTCCCACTGCAGGTGGGTTGAGTTGGTGGAATCCTACCTCCGCGGCCAGTCGACTGTTCCTGCGCCAGGGACTTCACCTCCCATTACCTGAATTTTTCCATTTATAGGATGATGACAGTAATAGTACCTATTCCAAGCTATATGAACAAGATATAATGATACCTGGCACAAAATAATACTTCCATAAACCGATGTATCGGTTTTACTATACAGGGAGCCAAGTTCTGGGCTAGAGCTAAGGAAAGCTTTGTGGTAGAGCGCCCCCTGCTGGCATTTAATATAACTTGATGTAATTTTAGGCGCAGGGATGGGAGGCGTAGTGGAAACAACAACAAAAAATTGTTTTCTGGTTTTTATCTTTCGATTCTATTTATCTCCAAGAGACAGAATCAATTTCGGGCTGGTCTCTTTGGAGTTAGGCCTTCTAACACCTGCTGATCTTGGACAGCAGGAGTAGGAGCCTTGGACAGCCAACAGTAGCTAGCATTTTATAACATTGTATTCATTCTAGTTTTTATCTTTACAGTTGCTTTTTCTTTACCATTTTAGGGAAAGTGTCCATTTTTAACTCATTAATATAAATATCAGTGATGTGCAGATGCAGCCTACGTGTTGTCTTAAAGAGGAAGTCTGGTGTCGGAATCCCAGCTTCTGTCATTGACTTCCCCTCTAAGTTTTCTTATCCATAAAATTGTAACAATGGTAGCACAAACTTCCAGTTGTGAAGATGCCAAGAGGTCATGAATGCCAAGTGCTTAGTGCCTGATGCAAGTTATCATTATTGGTGCATAAACCACATACTTTGTGCTGCCAATAAAGCCTTTAACCCACAATCAGTTACCCTTCCTTCTATCCGACTTCTTGGGTGAGGTGTAGCTGTCTCTCAGCCTGTTTCTCCACCTGTGAAATGAAGTTAAGAGCTCTGGAGCCGGTACACACATTCCTCTTAACTCGTCTGCCACCAGCAAGTTGGAAGGACCAAGGAATTTGAACAATAGATGCGCAAAGGAAGAAAGATTTTTATTATCAAACAGAGGCTGGATCTAGCCCAGAACACGTTCTTTTCCTCCTCCTCATTCTCAGACCCCACGGTCAAATCGACAGCTTGAAGGGCTCCCTCGCTCCGGCAAGGGTTGGAGGATGCTCCGAGTCTGAGCAAAACAAACAAATCAGGGACGTGGTGGTTTCAGGTTGGAGACTAAGAGGGTTCCCAGGGTGGCTCCGTGGTGTTGTGACCTGTTTGATGTGGCCAGGAACCTGGGACACTGCCTCTCTGAGTCTCAGTTTTTTCATCTGCAAAATGGAAGCAGCAATCATATCTTCAGTGACAGTTGAGAAGACTGGGGTGTTGCCTTCCAAGTTCCTGGTAAGATGCCTGGCAAGCTGTCGACAGTTGCACACGGAGTTCTGATTGTTTTCAGGTGCTGGTAGTTTCTCTCGGTTTTACTTTTCTGTCTTGATGACTTTCTCCTGGACCTCCGCCACTCTCTCAGAGGTGTCTTGGTGTGTGTCCTGGCTCCAGGATAGTTAGCTGGAAAGTCTTCTGAGCTCAGGCAGCAGCGGGGACCGTGATGTTGAGATCCTGGCGGATGAACCAGGCCCTCGGGTAGGGCAGCCAGCCGCGAAGCAGGCAGAGCAGGTGGAAGCGCCATGGGTAGAAGACGCCAGAGGCACGTGTGGCGCCGCCTCGGATCACAGCCAGAGCTGCCTTGGGCCCTGGGGCCGCCTTGGCCTTCGTGACGCCCCTGGGGATGGGAGTGCGCGGTGGGGGCTGGGGCTGAGCGGCTCCCAACCCCAACCCCCGCCTGGTCCACGCTCGCGCCCTGGGCCTCACCTGACTCCCTCCGCGACTGAGGCGCGATCTCGGAGGCCCAGGACGCACATGGTGATAGCCACATTCACGTCCTGCACGTCCAGCTCCCGCCGGAGAGAGCCAAAGAAGCTGTCCAGAGCGATCTTGGCCGCCGAGTAGGGGCTGGAGAAGGAGGTGGGCACGCGGCCTGGGGGCGCCGGAGGGCAGGGGCTGAGCAGTCACACACTGCTCCCCCTCCTCCAGGAAATCTTCCTGGCACCTCCAGGCTCTCCCACATAGAGCCCTGTGGCTTCCCCGCTCCCCGCCCCGCGTGCACGCACCTAGCAACGAGGACACCACCACCAGGGAGCCCTTGCTGTCGGTCAGACTGGGCAGCGCCAACGAAGTTAGTTGCACGTAACTCAGGAAGTTCACCTGAAGGCGTCGACTGCGTCACCGGGCGGAGGAGGAACCCAACCCCAACAGGGCAGGGGCGGAGCCTAGAGCACGGGGGTGGGGCTTGGTAGGTAGGGGCGGGGTTCGAGAAATGGGACGAAGTTCCGAATGGAAGAGGGAGAGCAGGCCAGGGGGCGGAGCCAAGGTCGAGAGGGCGGAGCCTAGAACCAGGAAAGGCGGGGTTTGGAGCTGGGAGTGGCAGGGCCCCAGGAGATGGGGAGAGTCTGGGGCGGGAGGTCGGAGCCAGAACCAAGAGGAGGCGGAGCTGGGGCCGCGGAGGGTCGGAGCACCTGCATGAGCCAGCGTGTCGCCTGGGCGCTGCGGGCCCGCGTGCCTGCCGGGGCGGCGCCGAGGTGGTTCAGCACCAGGTAGTCCAGCCCTCCTAGCCCAGAGAGGCCCGTCAGCCCGGAGTCAGTCCTTGAGGCTCCGCCCCCGTGCCTGATAAGACACCAACCCTAATCCTGCCCCCTGAGCTAGCAAAGCTCTGACAGAGCACTGACCCAATGAGCTCCGCCCCAGATAGCGCCCCCAACTAAGATCAAAGAAACCCCACTCTACTCCCCTCTTCCCAGATCCAATGAGGCTCGGTCCACAGTTGCTGGATGCAATGAGGCTCCACCCCTGGCCACGCCCCTTGTCCATAAGTCTCCGCCCTCAGACTCCCGTAACTACCACCCTCCCACCCTAATTTGGATCCTGCCCCTAAGGCCAAGGCCAAGGTCCCGACTCCAGGCCCCGCCCCTCACCCAGCTTGTCCAGCGCAAACCGCACCACGCGCTCGGGCACCTCGGGGAAGGCCACGTCCGCAGCGACGTAGAAGACCTTGGCAGCGCCCAGCTCCCGGCAGCTCCCCACCACCTGAGGGGGCCAGAGCTGCCCGTGGGCCCCTCCGCCGGCCTGCCCCGTTAGGGTCCCAGCCTGAAGCCCCCTCCCCTAGTACGAGCCTCAGATTCCATTCAACATCATTCTCAAAGCTAACCCCTGGGGTAGCAAACTGGCAGACCGCAGGCCAGGACAGAGGACATTTTACTTGCTCGACCATCAACATTTAAAACTCAGGAGATTTCAAATGCATCCTGAGATTTCTGACCTCTCTTAACATTCTGGAAGGTTTATTCCCCAAAACTACATTTCCTTGAAGCAGCACTAGGCTGTTGCTAAGAAGTGTCTACCCACCCTGCTTTTGAACTGGAGAACCCTAGCTATCACTACAGCCTTTGGCCACTCACTATCAGTACTTCCACTCATTGAGGAACACTCCTGGCTTTCCAGCTGTCTCACTGCATCAACCCAACACCACAAAGTAGGAGAAGGTACTTTTATGGTCTCTGTTTTGTGAGTGAGGAAACTAAGACTCAGAGAGATTAAGCGACTTGCCCAGGGCCACACAGGAAGCCTGGAGGCTTGCAGGGATTCAAACCCAGACCCTGTCTTTCCCCCATCCCTGCCGCCACCATTAAACTGGAAATGGGGTGTCTCACCTTCTGCAGGAGAGCCTCGGTGGGGGCAGTGAGCACCAGGTGGGAGCCCAGGCGTGCGTAGTGATAAGCCAGCTCCTCCCCCACACCTGCACTGGCTCCGGTCAGCAGCACTCGGGCTCCCTGGAGGCTGGCTGGCAGTGAGCAGGGGTGGTCAGCTTGGGGGTTGGACAGGACAGCCGGATCATTCCTCCCTCCTCCACTCCCAGGCACTCACCTGGGTTAAAGTTGTCATCCCAATAATAGGCAAAGAACAGGGCTCCTAGCCCAGTGAGGAGTAGCATCTTCATGGCCCTCCCTGGGTCTGCAGCAGGAGAGAGGTGGCTGGCACAGGCCTGGCCCACAGTCATACCCATTTCCCCAACTGTGTCTTTGTTCGAAGAGCACGCAGTGATGCCCCCAGCCTTGGCCCTGCCCCCCTCTTGTCTATCTCCATGGCCACCACTGGGTCCAGGTTATCATACAGATCACTGGAACCACTGCACCAATCTCCTCCCCCTGCTGAAACCTCTGCCTGTATCACTTAGAATCAAAGCCTTGGTGACCAAAAAGGCCTTGCCTGGACCAGCCCCTCTTGTTCACTCTGCTTTGCCACTCCATCTTTTTCACTGTTCATCAGAATGAGCCAGTCATCATCCTGGCTCAGAACTTTTGCACTGGCTGTTCCCTCTGCTAGGAATACTTTTCTGGAATACAACCCAATGGCTTGATCTTTCAAGTCTCACCTCCAAAATCACCTCCTCGGAGGGTGCTTCCCTGGCTTCCTTCTCTAAAGCACCTCTATTCCTGGTCCCTCTCTCTCCCTTATCTGTAGAACTTTCTTTTCCTTCTCAGCACTTGGTCATCCCCTTAAATTGTCTCAATGATTTGTTACATGTTCAGGATCCCTCTTTGCCCTTGGACTCAGTCCCATGGGGCCAGGAAAGAAATGGAAACCTGCTTCTATTTTGCTCACTTTTGGATCTTCAATGCCCCAAACTGCCAGACATGCAGTACATCCTCAATAGATATTAGACTAACCCACAGTGATATGAGGAACGTGGGAAGTGAGAAGTGGGAGAGCCCAGAAAGACAACTGTCTGGGGACACCCCATGGAATTGGACATTCAGGACTGGTTTTGAGACAGAGGTGTCTGTGTCATCAGGTTAAGATGTGACTTCAGCTGTGGGAATCAAGGTACCTGTTCTAGGCAGAAGGTGAGAGAGAAATAGGCAAAGTGCTTAACATTCTGGGAGTTGTGGGTCTCCCATGAAAGGGGCATAGGCCCATCACATCTTGGGATTTTTAATCCTCTGAACTTCATGGGGCAAAGAAGAAAGGTTGACTTCCAGAACATAGGAAGCTGAGAGGTGTTGGGGTTGGTAAGTCCTCAAATCTCCAAGCTCTAAATCCAGTCTGACCTCCTTTGCCCCCACTGCGAAGTTCCAGCTGCCTCCTCCCTGGCTCTCCCATCTTCACACTCCCTCCCTCCCACTCTATCCTTTCCAAACAGCCATAGGGAGTCTTCAAAAAAAAAAAAAAATACTGGCATGTCTCTTCCTGCTCCAAATCCTCCCAGGACTTGCCACTGGCCCAGATGGAGGCAAACTCCTCACCTCAGCCCACAAGACCCAGTAGGTCTGACCCCTGCCCTCCTGTCCAACCTCATCCAGCCCCGCTCCTGTCTATGAATCTTCCAGTTCTCAGAAAAGTGAACTCCTCGCCCTGACCCAGTCATGCCAGCATGCCCTCATCAGGGAAAGCTCTCTCACTTCTTCCCACTTCCAGGGAAAAGCTGTGAAGCCCCTCAGCTCAACTCTCTCCTCAACCCGGCCCGGACCACAGCGGCCCTGCAGGGGTTGGCTGGTAGGCAGGGTGGGTGCATGAATGGATGAATGGGATGGAGGAAGCAGCCAGGCCGTGATGAGGGATGAAAGGGGAAAACTCGATCCCCGCAGAACCCACCGGCCCCCTGACCTTGCTGGGCCTCAGTTTCCCCTCTGGACAAAGGAGGCGTGAGACCCACTGCACGCTCCCATCCGCGCACTCACCCAATCAGGCCTAAATTTCTCCCTCGGCCCAGCGGGGATGGGGTCCGGGCCTGGGAGCCGCGCATGCGCCCCTCTGCCCTCCCTTCGCAGTCGTGTCCACCCAGCCCGCGACCACGCCCCCTCCCGTAGGACCTGAGCCACTTGGCTCCGAGCCCACCTCCTCGCGGGGAGGGGCCCGGATGTGGGGGGGACTCTGCGCTGGGCGTTGCCGGGCAACTGCCTCCCCCCTGGCTCTCCCTTGGCCCCGCCCTTGTAGGAAAGCCCCACCTACACGATCACGTGACTAAGGATCTGCCTATCTTGTACAAGTCCGCCCTCGTGTTGCCGTGACAACCGGCTTCCTGGCACTGTGTTCCTAGGCCTGGGTCCTCATTCCCCGCGCGGGCGCGGGTGGATCGCCCAGGCTCCGACATGTCTTTGGTCACCCTCAGGCCTCACTCCAGACACCCAACTCCTCCTTTCCTCACGTCGCCAGGGCTGTGGCGCGCCGGACTGCATTTCCTAGGAGGCTGGGCGGCTAAATGAGTTGTCATCACGGGGCGGTGCTGACTACTTTTCCCAGACAGCTTTGCGGCGGCCGGGCCCTGAGGTAAAAGCTCCGCAGGATCATTTTGCAGTCGGACCGCTACCCATCTCTGTCGTCTCGGAGGGGTACCGAGACTCCGACTCCCGGGGGCCTTTGCGACTGATAAGAGACTACGTCTCCCAGAGGGCTTTGCGGCGTCTCGACCGGAAGCGACGGGCGAGCCGAGTGTCCTTGCGCGCGGAGCCGAGCAATCATGGTACCCCGAGTGTGGTCGCTGATGAGGTTCGTGTGACCACCGGGCGGGCCCCAAGCCCCCGAAAAGGTTCTCTTCTTTGGGCACCGTACTCTGGTTTGCTCCCGACCAGCTCTTCGCTTCCCGTAGTGCCAGGTCTCCCGTGTCGGTTCGCGGTGGGGCTTCCTGAGGTCGCCCGTCGCCTCCTTCCCTCTTCCTAGCGAGTCCTTGCTTCCTTACTCTGCACACTAGACCCCTCCGAGCCTCAGCTGTCTGCTCTGTAAAATGGAGCAGGAGTGCCGCACGTGTTTGTTGGGTGGTTAATGCGCACTCGGAGCTGCGTGTGACATGCAGGAAACGACCAGGGACTCTTAGAAAACCCTTGCAGGTTGCTTGTGTAGGATCCGTCCCGGAGCTGGAAGGTAGAAGGTGGTCAGGGGCCTTAAGTCTTCACTGTGCTTACCTCATTAGCTTCCCGGCTTCCGGTGTGTCACTTTGCATTGTGGGTCTAAACCCCCACTATCACACCCTTGGGCCTAGACTGGGAAGGTGGCCAGCTGAGCTGCTGTGGTTCCATTCCCTGTCTGCAGGTTTCTCATCAAGGGCAGTGTGGCTGGTGGTGCTATCTACCTGGTGTACGACCAGGAGCTGCTGGGACCCAGTGACAAGAGCCAGGCCGCCCTTCAGAAGGCAGAGGAGGTGGTCCCCACCGCCATGTACCAGTTCAGCCAGTACGTGTGTGAGCAGACAGGCCTGAAGATACCCCAGGTACCGCGAGCTGGGATTGAGGCTCAGGCGTGGCAGGAGCGGGGTTGGGTGTCAGCTCTGGGGTGGCCTTTGATCCCTAGTCCCTGCAGCCCTGCTTGGTGTCCTCCGCGCTGGGGCGTGTGCTGCTCCCCCTGTCTGTGAGGGAAACTGGGGCTGCCAGGCCTTCCCCTTTCACCCAACCCGTTCTCCCCATCTCTTCCCAGCTCCCAGCCCCTCCAAAGTTTAACTTTCACATCCGGGAGTCCTGGAATTCAGGTAGGCCAGCTGCTTGGGGGTGGCGTGGGAGGGGGGTGTGGCCCCAGATACCTCCCACCTCCCTCCCTGGCCATTCCTTTCCATTGTTCCCTTCCTGCTGTGTGTACACTTCCCACGGATCTAAAAGAAAAAGGGAGGTGGGGATTCCAGGGGGGTGGAAGCAAGATAGAGCCTCCTTTGAGGGCCTGGGGCTGCATCAGAGCACATCGTGTGGCCTCTGCCTATTTCCCTGTGTGGAACTGAGTGCTGGAAGTCCTGCTTCTAAAAGTCATGCGGATTTAGGGTTTCCTGGGGGTTGGACCAAACCCCTTTGCTGAAGGCGCCGGGCCCTCCCTTCCCACAGGGATCATCACAATGATGTCGGCTCTGTCGGTGGCCCCCTCCAAGGCCTGGGAGTACTCCAAGGAAGGTTGGGAATACCTGAAGGAGCGAACCAAGTAGCCTGTCAGAGGACGCCACCTGCCCCAGGCGGGGGAAAGGGGCAGGGGCACCGAGGACCTAAAGACACCAGACTGGGACCCCACTCCGAGGGCAGCTCCGGCCTTGCCAGTCCAATAAAGGACTTGGAAGTGTTCCCCAACCCGTGTGCTGGCCCCGGTGGTGTGGGCTTCTGCCTCCTGGGGGCTCCTTAGGGACTGACCTTAGCTGAAGGCCGAGGCTCACCTTTTCACCTGGGCCCTGGACCTGGCGTGGGGAGTGCTCAGCAGCCCTGGGAAGGGTTGAGAAAGTGCTGAGGGCCCACCTGGGTCGGTGGTCTCCTCAGTTCTCAGAGGGCTGAGCCCAGAGCAGGGCAGTCTGCGGGTGAGGGCTGATCTACACCACCAGGAGCCCCTGCAGCTGCTGATTCTCTGTCCTGCTCAGCTCACTGGTCTGCCTGCCTAGTCTAGTCCCTGCTTGCGCCCTGTGTCCACTCTCATTGCACCCCCTCCCCACAACCTGGGGATTCCTGGGGTCATGGCCTGGTGGTCATGCCATGCAGGGAGTTTCCTTGACCGATAAGGCCCTGTCCTCCAGACGGCCCCTGCTCCCTTGGGAAGCCACCTCTGACACCCCCGTCCCTCACAGGGTCAGCTACCTGCTGACCTAAACATCTCTCCATCCGACTGGAGCTGCAGGGAGGGTCTGCCCTTGAGAGGCTCCCTGTGAGGCCCCCAGCATCCAGCCACAGAGAGCATCCCACCACGGTGACAGCAGGAGGAAACCTCTGCCCCAGACTAGGTTGGAGGTGGGCTTGGATGGGAGCCAGAGGCCGGCCCAGGAGGCTCCCCGGAGCAGGGAACTGGCCTGGAAAATGCAGGAGATCCTCTGTTCCTAAAAGTTCTGGGCTTTATGTCATTTGATGTAGGAGACAGCCCACCCAGGGCCATGAGCCAGGAGGGGACAGCAGTGTTTCAGTTGAGGGAAGCAGAGGCCAGAGGCCGGGCATTTCCCTGGGAGTAGAAGCCAGCACCTGTCTGTCCATCCCTCTGGCAAGGGAGGAGTAGGGGTAGGGGCAGGGGAGGGAGAGCCCTGAGTGACCTGGTCTCCAGGTGGGTCTCCCATGTCCAGCACGTCACCTGGAAGCCACTTGGGTCCCACAGGCCCCTGTCCTTGTTGGACCTCTGTGGAGCATGTCTAAGATGAGGCCTGGATAGGCCAGGCCTGGGAACTGTCCCTGATCCTCTGCTGCCCAGGATGGAGCTGGTGCTGGCCATTGCGGAGGCCTGGAGGTCAGCTCGGGTTCAAGGGCAAGCCCTGTGACTAACCCCAGCCTGACTATCCACTGAGCCCTTTCAGCAGCCTCATGGACCCATTTTACAGGAGAAACTTGCCCCACCAGGTTCCTGGTCCCCTCTATCTGCCCAGAGCCCAGGGTGTGAACTTAAACCCTCCCATTATTACTGTTACCATTTTATGGAGGGAGGGGGAGACCTGCCAATGCCACCTGCCTTGAACAACCCTTAGCAGCCCAATATTGGCACAGTGGAGCACACAGGAAAGGGAAACCAGCCTTGCAGGAAATCCAGGAGCTGCCCTGGGGTTGTACCTGGCCCTCCTGGAAAACTTGACCCCAGACTCTGGTGGCTGGTCACTGACCACAGCCTGCACCCAGGTGCCCAGGGTCAGCTGCCGGCTCTGCTTGGCCCCACAGCTCTCCCTGCTGTCTGGAGACCAGAGCTGCCTCTGTCCCCTCGTCCAGTCAGACCCCAATCCCTCTCTACTGACTTGTATTTCTTAACAGCGCCAAGACCACCTCCAGGCCTGCCCCCTCCTCCTGTTTCCGAAGACCAAGTCTGACGATGTCACCGCCTTACTCAAACGCGCGTGGCTCTCCACTGCCCTCCTCGTGAGCCCACTCCTCCCCTCCATTCTTGGACAGACTGGCGGCCCTCAGTTCCCAGAATGCAGCTGGTTTTCCCCACCAGCTTTTGCCCACCAGTTTGCGCCCCCTCCATCAGCCATCCTTCCTCCTGGCTGAATCCTGTTCATCCCGCCCTCAGCTTAGCTGCCCCCTCTTCCAGGAAGCCTCCCCTAGCTACTTCCCCGAGCGCCTTCTCTGGGCCTCCTCGGTGCCTGGTGTGTACCCACAGCGCCCACCACCCTGGGGCAGAAACTTGCAGCTCAGCATCCCTGACACGGGGGACCGTCCCAGGCATGGCAGGGTGCAGAGCAGCATCCCTGCCTCCATCTGCCAAACGCCAGCGGCACCTCCTTACCCCCTCTCATGACAACCACAAATGTCTCCTGGTACAGCCAGAGGTCTTCAGGGGACAGAATGACCCCAGGTGGTTGGAAATCCAGGCTGAAATCCAGGATGGGCAGGGCTGGTTCCTCCTGGAGGCTCTGGGGGGAGGGATGGGAGGCTACCATTCCCTGCCTTTTCCGACTTCTGGAAGCTGCTGTGACCCTTGGCCTGCGGCTCACCACCCCCCACTGCCACCCCGTCTTCACAGGCAGCAGGGTAGTTTTCTCTTTGCATCTCCACCCCTGGCCCTCCTGTCTCCCCATTTCTCTTGTAAAGACCCTTCTGGTAACACAGGATCCACCTGGCCAACCCCAGATAACCTCCCACATGAAGGTCCTTGACTGAATTCCACCTGCCGCGTCCCCTTTGCCCCGCGAGGTGTGTGTACACGGGCTGCAGGGACCGGGTCTGGGGTGAGCCTGGCCTGGTGGAGCGGGGCTTTGTTGAGCCAACAGATGTAAGGGCCTGGGCCTGTGTCCCTCCCTGGCTGTGGGCCCTGTGGGGACAGGGGCCCGGGCAGCCTTGGTTGTTGGTGCATCACACCCCTCAGACAGGGCAGATCCTACTTGAACGTGTGAGAGATGAACCCCAGAGAGGGGAGGCGACCGGCCTGTTTCCATGGAGCCAAGGGGCAGGTCTGTGGCCACTCTAACCCTGTAGGGTAGGCTTGCCTCCACCCCATCCATGTAGCCACTAGGACCCTGGAGACAGGACACCACCGTCCCCACAAGCACACCGCCTCAACCAGAAAACGCAGACCCCCTCCCCTGGGAGTCCAGGCAGCACCTGGTCCCTGAACGCACCTGCCTTGCACCTTAAGTGGAGACCCCCCTCCCAACTCCTGTCCTGACAACTCCCCTAACACTTGGGCCCTCCCCTCCCCTAGGGGACCCCATCACCTCCTGGTGGCAACAGCTCTTCTGCTTCCCTTATACCACACCTGGTCACATCTTCCCCACTAGGATGCAATTCCACTCAGAAGATCCCTGGAGGAGCCATATCCAGAGACAGGAAGTAAGTGGTGGGTGTCAAGGGCTGGGGGAGAGGACAGGGAGTCAGTGTTTAATGGGCGCAGAGTTTCAGTTTGGGAAGATGAGTAAGTTCTGGATATGATGGTGGGGATGGTTGTAAGACATCAAGAATGTACATAATGCCACTGAAGGCCGCGAGTCTTAGATGTGGAGGTGGGGCAATGGAAACATCTCAAGGCCATGGAGGAGGGACAGGTGGCTGACACACGACCCAGAAGGTCCTATGAACTCTGGGCCTGGGCTCACGCAGGCTGGGAAGTGTGTGCTGTTGGCAAAGTGGCAAAGTGCTTCTGGAAACCCCAACAGTCCCTGAAAGCTGCCCCTTTCCATCCTCCTTCACCGAAGGAAGAGCTGTGGCTTAGCACTGATGAGTATAATTCCATTTTACTTAAAGAGGTGGAAATAAAGAGATGACACTTTAAATAAATAAAGGGTATGTGAACAGAAACACATTTATTACAAAAAACCAAAAAACAAAAAACAAATTCACATTGTATTGAGCTACAATATGGCAGCAGATAAAAAAAAATTATTGTACACAGTTTAAGGTAACTCCTAACAGGACATGTTCTGGTTGCCACGTGACGTAACACAGGATTCCAAGCACTTAGTAGCGGCGAGTGAAGCGGGCATCGTTGGGCCTGCTGCCCCGGTTCTGGCCCCCGAAGCCGCCCTGCATGCCGCCGCGCGGGATCACGTGGCCCCGAGAGGCCCCTCCGGGGGCAAAGCTGCCGCGCCTGGAACAAAGGTGGATTCTGATCGGCCCACATGGCACCAGTCTGTGGGCTCTGGCCTGCGCCCTGCCCTCCAGGGCTGGCTTCCCTCTGGAGCAGCAGCAGCAGCACCAGGAAACAGACCTGCACTGTTTCAGCAGCAGGGACATCCAGGTGGGAAGGCCTGACTGCCTAGAGCTTCACCAAGGCAGCCCACATGCAAAGACCAGACTTACCCCGACATGCCTCCCCGGTTCATCATGTGACCCGGCCCAGAGTGACCAGACATACTTCTCTCGCCACCTACAAGAACAGACACTGCTGTCACGGTGGAGAGAAACTGCGACACCCACGACACCTCTCCTGTGGCAGACCTCAGCCCCACCCCCAGGCCACAAGGAGCAAGGCCGTGTGCCCTCACGAGCAGGTGCAACATCAGCTTTCCAGGTGTCTCTCCAGAGGTGCCCATGCTGAGTGCCAGTCCTCACCTTGCCACCTCTTGTGGTCCCTGTCTATCATGCCTCCGTCGGCGGCGCCCTGCCATGCACGATCATCCTCTATTCTTCGGCCATGGTCCCCCCAGTCACGTCTGCCCCTTGGAAAAAGACATCTCTGACTTGGATTGCCCCCATTTGCCTTTCAGAACAGCAACATGCTGGGTTCTGGAGGGTGGGTTTAGCATTCCGTGACCCCAGCCCCCTAGCCCTCTGAGCAGTGGTGGGTGCAGGGGAGCGGAACTGGCTCTGGGTCTGATGCTGCTCAGAGAGCTCAGAGGCAGTCTGGGCCCTGGTGAGTGTGCTGGGCTGCAGGGCCTGCACTCAGCTCATCCCTGAGACCAGGGATCCTGGGCTGCACAGATCGATCCTGCCAGCTGCGTGTGAGGCCTGCGTGGACACTGTGCGGTGTGAGACACAAACCTGGGTGGAGGAGGCAGCCCCCGGCCCTCGCTCATCCTCTTGTCAGAGCCGTATCCGCCCCACCCATCGCGGGAGTCCCGCCCGTGGCGCTCTGGTCCTCCGTGGCGTTCGGGGTAGTGCTAGACGATAAAGGGTCAGAATGAAAAGGCATCAGTACAACCCCGGATCCCAGGGCCTTCGGGTCAACAAGCTAATGACGATGGATGGTAACTCAGAGAGAAGCACGTGCAGGCCCAAGGTAGTGCCGGCAGGCATCCTGCACCCTGTCTGAAGCCACACAGGCCATTTCACCTGGCACAACACGGCTGCACCCCCAAAGTCTGCTCATGGCATGGGGAGAAGACAGGACTAGGGTCTCCCCAGTCAGAAGATTCGGGCACCGACAGACTGAGGGGTGCTGGGGCTGAGTGACTGCTCCACACCAGGCACGGCCCACACTGCCAGGTGCTCGTGTTTAGAATGTAATTACAAGCTGCACAGAGCCACCAAAGCAGAAGGGCCACCAAGGATCCCTTGACACAACTCACTTCAGGGCCTGACATCTTGTCCCTGCACTGCCCAGGATGCATCCCGTGGCAGCCCACCGGCCTACTCTGCGGCACTGCCCTGAGAACTGCGAGGCCAGCACAGGCCTCGGGGGGCCCGACCCTGGGAGGATGGAAGAGGAAGCCTCAGTCTGTTTAAATAAATGTCCACTCCTTTCCTTTCACCCAAAGCCTGCTCCTGCCAGCTGACTGGAAGGTCCAGGTGAGGTGGCTATCGTCCTGGTGCTCTCACGGTTCCACAAACCCAACCTGTGGCCTTGGGGCTTTCCCCCTAGATTCTGTTCTAAGTGAGGAGTGAGGAGGAAGGAGAAAGGAGTCCTGGTAGTGAAGCCCTGAGGAGGACCCCTGCAGCCGCCCTGTCACCGTCTGCTCAGCCAGCACGCTCTGACACAGAGGCTCGGACAGGAGCCCTCAGCGTTGGACCTCAGCGCGCTGGGCAGCACTGCCACCTGCTCCTCCAAATGTGTGCCGACACCTCCCTCCACACAAGAAACGGGGGTCAATTTTACAAGACGGACAAAATAGAGCAGTGCTCCTTAAGGAGTGAAATCCCAAGCCAACGTGTCCATGAAAGTCAGTGCTGCCAAATATAACAAGGGCTGCTCAAACAGGACTCCCAAAATAGTTCTACCAACAACCTTCAAGGCATGTAGGGCTTTAAAAAATTACAGCTCATGATTGAAGAACGACCTTTTATCAAGAGCCTTCTGAAGACTCCAAACTGGACAGAGAGGCATTTAAAGTAGAGAAGTTCACCTCAGCAAGACCTAGTTCTGTCACTGCTGCTTTGCCCCATGTACCACGTGTCACCCTTTGTTGTTTGTGCCTTATTTATGATCATGGATGTGAGAAAACCGCCCTGGGAGTTTCAGGGGAGAGAGCACTACCTAATCATGTGAAATGGAGCTAACAATGATTAAGAGCATTAGGAAGGTCTGGGCAGACACGTGCATCACCCCTAACTCCTGCCACCCTAGGTGGTAGGAACAATCACCCTCATTTCACAGCTGGAGAAACAGGCTCAGCAGAACTGCTGGTACCAAGATATGACCCTGGTCCAGGTTCTGGAGCCTGGACATTTAACCACGGTGCTCAACGTCTCCACCAAAGGAAACCCAGGAGACTAAGTCTAGATTTAGTTGCATGTAAGATTTACGTCCAGGAGCAGAAAAAAAGGAATCACGTGAGGGGTAAACAATTACTCCCCAGGCGGCAGAGAATCCTTAGGCGTAGCCAAGGAGCCTCGTAATCTCTAGCCACATTCTCAGGAGCTGAGGGAGGAGGACAGATCGAAACATCGAGTCAGGGAAAGGAATGACTCACAGGCTAGCGGTTCTGTCAGAACAATGCCCTGACCACAGCCTTTCCTATTCCTCTGATTTTCCAAGAAAAGCCACTAAAGAGTCAAGGCTCTTTGAGGAAGTTCTCAATCTAAATGTAAGACAGGAGAAAAGGAGAAAACTGAGCTTATTTCCTAATGTGTTAATCCTGCAAGGAGCAGGCACACAAGCCCAGCTCAGGTCTTTCCCAGGGCTCAGCGGGCTTGGGCTGACTGGCGCCCACTGAGGCTCCAGACGCACCTGGACTCCACAACATGAGGCGTGGCCTCTAGGCAGCACTGTGGGTCGCAAAGCACTTTCCAACAGAGCCCGCCAGACTCCTGCCAGGCTCCCCAGCACTTCAGCACTGGTGTAGCCACTAAGTGTACAGAATCTCAGGGTCAAGGCCCAACAAAACTTCTGAATGTCTGTTTGGATTTTGGGCCAAGACCGAGCACAAACCATTCACTGTGTTACTCCACAAACGTCGCAGCTGCCGCACTTCCTCACTCGTTCGTCCTAACTCAGATGGAGGAGGCAGAAGCATGCAGGAGGGAAGAGAGCCAACTCTGTGGGGAAAACCGTGGCTGTAACTGTAGCTTCTGACTTACCTGTCCTTCTCTTTCTCCCATCATTGACCTTGAACCTTCTCTCCTGAAAAAGGCAATTTAAATGAAACCATAAGGAGAGGAAGATAGGTTGGTTAGATTTTCAAAAGGAAAACATACCCCAATTTGAACCCAGATAATTCACACACGCCGCTGGATCAAGTGGGCTTGCAATCTAGAGGCCTAGAGCCTAGAAAGGTTACCCAAATTCTTCATCATAATAATGAATAAGGACAAAGAAAACTTGCATCAAGCGGGCAGGGTCGGTGGCTGACCTGTCAACTGAGTGGTCAGGGTAGCGGCCCCGGTCCCTGTGGTCAAAGTCATGGAAGCGGTCCTGGCGGTTGAAGTCAGAATGGTAGCGCTCATCCAGGGCAGCCCGCTTAGCTTCCGGCCAGTAGGCATCGTCTCGCCTGGGAAGGGAAGCAAGAACGGAGTATGTGCGTAACTAAACCCTCAAACTGTCCTTGGCCCCCATCACTTCACAGAAGGGGGACTATCAGTGAAGCATATTCTCTGCTACACAAGCTGACAGAGCCTGGAGGGGTGAGGTGGGATCTGACTCAAAGACTCCATTCTGTCTTACCCAACATGCCCTGCCTCCCCTCACAGAAGAGCTTACGTCTCCCTAATAGGAGGTGATCAGTCAAGTGGGCAAGCGCACGTGTGCATCAGCAGATCACCTCTGGGAACCTCTCAAGGCCACGAGAACAGTGAATGCACAGCTATCTCTTTTGTCCCAATGCAGACTTGATCCAGCAAAGACACCCAGTGGGGAGGACTTTTAGAATCACTTGAAACATAGTTTCAAAACATTTATGCCCATAACAGACTCCCATATCAGTACTTTGTATAAAAGCATAAAAAGTTCTAAGATAGACTAAAAGCCCTTTTACAGAAGTCTCACTGTTCTATTACATGGGGACCTCTTTAACCCACGCAGTAGACAGAAGGTTAAAACAAACATGCATCCAGAAGAGCTTTGATAGGCTCAGTGCTAGGATTATTACCCCAAACTCCTGACAGTAAGGTCTGAAATAGGTCTGCTATGGGTTAATGTGGGTTAGCATTTTAGTATTGGTATGTCACACCAGCATGCTGGGGGAATTAAAATTAATCTAACAGAATGAACAAACACAAATTACTGCAATGATTACAAAGCTGGAAGGCGCCCAGAAGGTGGTGCTTTCTGGTCACCGGCCACCTGCCCAGCACTCGTGTTATGTGCTGCTCTGGGTGCCTAAACTCCTTCCTCAAGGTGGGGTCTGTGCTGGGACTTGAACCTAATGATTAATAAGCACTACTTTATCCAACCATTTCTCCACTGATCTCAAACCATCTCAGATTCCTGGATGAAGCACAGGAGATTGAACAGCTGTAGCACGCACCAGCGCTTCCTTTTAAATATAAAT